CTCCCTGCACAACCCTGTGACAGGGCCCGGTTCTGCGGGGAGAGACATGCCATAAGATCATCACAGTTCTGCCCCAGGCTTGGGCCTTGTGCTGTCATTGCCCTGAGATCCCAGTCCCAGGCCTGGCTCCCAGACACTCCTCCCCACCTGCATCCCATATGCATGCCCTGCCTGCAAGGGTCCCAGGCCAGTCTCCATGGAGACCCCACCCACCTGTTCTATCTGGTGCCCCCAGGGATAGGTGTGGGGCAGACAGGTTGAGGTGTCTGGACAATGGTGGAGGCAACAGAGACACTGGCAGTGGCATCCAGACAGTGAGCTGCTCCTGCAGGGATTGCCAGGAAGCCAACACTGGTGTGCCACCCCTGTCCTGTCCCACTGTGTGCCTGCAGGCTGTAGGACTGGCTACATGCACCTGGGCCAGGTAGGGCCAAGGGACCTGCTGCAGCTGGACAGGATCCACTGGCTGCCCAATCCTGCCCATGGGCAGTATTTTGTCCACCCCCAGTTTACTCTGAGTCTGTACTGCACTATGCTGTGCCAGTACCATGGACCACGCGCTCCAGCCTGCAGGACATCTGGCATCCAACAGCTGGCCCACGCTTACAGATGACAGGGCAGAGAAGGCTAGAAGCTGGGGTGGCTGCACTGCAGCACCAGAAAGAGGTGCCTTGAGCCACAGCTTGAAACAGAACACCCAGAAGGCTCCATGCTGATCTGTGTGCCCCCCGCCTCGGGTAGACACCCCGCTGGTGCGGCCTGCGGGCGGGGCTTGGATTCTGGTCTCCCATGAGGCGCTCTCGCTCCGCCCCGGCACGCGAGGTTGGGTTCCAGGGGCGGTACTTACATGGCCTTCTCTGCGTTTCGAGCCTAGAAAAAGTGAGAGACAGAGACAGTGTTAGCACAGCACAGCACGGCACGGCCCCGCCCCGCCCCCGCTCCCGCGGAGCTGCCCAGAGCTCACCATCGTGCCCGCAATGCAGGGCCTCACGCCACCGGCACCACAGCTCTGTCAAGCTGGCAGCCGGAAGCGCCTCTGCTGGGGGCAAAGGTCAAAAGACTCCGGCTATGCCCCGGAAACAGATGCTGCGCAAGCGGAGCAGGCCGGGCGGCGCCGAATGCTAACCCAGAGGCAGAACCCCACAGCACTCGGTCGCTAGCCGGCGGAGGCGCCGGCTGCGCAAGCGCAGTACGGGGGTGGTTCTAGCCTACGTTCTACTGCGGCGCGCCCGCCTCTAGTGAAGCCAGCGTGCGCATGCGCCGAAGAGACTCCCTTTGTGGACTGGGGGCGGGGAGTTGCCGTGGCTTAAAGATAAGCGAGAGTGTGCGGCTGCGCTTGAGTGGGTCCCACTTGGGTGAAAGTGTCTGAGGGCTCATGGCAACCCGGGGGTGGGGCTGTTGCTGCTGCTGGGGCCAGGCGGCGCGGGGTCGGGGCCGCTTTGCCTTCGCCCGCTACTGGAAAGGCCGCGAGAGTTTTGTCGCCAGGGGTCAGAAGAGTTTTAAAGCGGGGGGGCGCAGCTCTTGGCGCCTGCTCCAGGATGTGACCCCCTCGGGCAGGAAGCGCCTCCGGATCCCCTGCTTGACCGCCTGCTGCAGCTTGAGCCTGGTGCTCCTAGTCCTGTCCCCTCGGGCCGCAGAGAAAAGCCCATCTCTGCTTTCTCTGGACTCTCTCCCTGCATTGGAGACTGCTGTCCAGCCCCCTCCGTCTCTTCTCCAGGCTGAACAACCGTTTGTCTTTCAACCTTTCCTCATCACCAATCTGATCTCCCAGGCCCCTGATCATGTTTGTTGCTCTGCCCTGGTCTGTTTCCAAAGTGTCCATGACCAACTTAAAGTGTGAGCCCTGAAACCCGACACAGCGCTTCAGAGGAGGCCTCACCATTGCTCAGTAGAGTGGAAGTCACTTTCTTTGATTTGCACATGTAACATAGATTTCATAGACATTAGGGCTGGAAGGGACTTCCTGAGATCATTGGGTCCAGCTCCCTGTCCAAGGGGCAGGAAGTCTGCTGGGGTCAGATGATCCCAGCAAGATAAACATCCAAACATTTTTTTAAAGATACCCAGAGTAGATGCTTGCACCACTTCTGAGGGGAATCTGTTCCAGACTCTGGAGACTTGGCCTGTAAAGAAGTTTTTCCTTATGTCCAGCCTAAAACTTCTTCCTGGAGTTTGTGACCATTGGACCTTATCTTCCCTCGGGGTGCCCTAGTGAACAAACGTTCTCTCAGTTCCTGATGCACACCCCTTGTATACTTACAGGTTGCCACCAAGTCACTCCTGAGCCTGTGGTTCTCCAGGCTGAAGAGTCTCATGCCTCTCAGTCTCTCATAAGGCTGGCTCTCTTGACCTCTGATATTGTACTAATACAATAAAGGACACTGTTCCAGTTTGGCAGCAAGAGCACACTGTTGACTCATACACAGTTTAGGGTCTACTATAATCTCCAGGTCCTTTTCTGCATCTTAGTCAGTCATTCCCCAGTCTGTATTTGTGCATGTAGTTAGCCTGTCCCAAGTGCAGGACTGCACTTGTTCTTGTTGAACCTCGTCTGACTGCAGACCATTTACCAGTCTGTCCAGGTCATTTGGGATCCTAGCCCTGTTCTCCAGAGTGTTTGCAGCTCGATCTAGCTTGGCATCATCCACAAATTTACTAAATTCACACAATCCAATTGGCCAAATAATGAAGTTGTGGAACAATACCAGACCCAGGACAGACCCCTGGTGAATCCCAGTTGATACATGCTCCCAACTAGACACTGAGCTGTTGATGACTACTTTGAGCAGGATGATCCAGCCTTACATTGTAATCTGTATCTACCTTAAATTATTTTAATCTAGTCTGCATTTCTTTAGCTTGCTAATGAGAGTGTCATGGGAAACCACATCAAAAGCCTTGCTAGGTTAAGGTATATGTGGAATGAAAGCAGATGCTCTGGAAGGTAGGGCTAGGATCCAGGATCTGTGATAGGGCTGGGATCTTGGTGAATCCATGTTGACTGTTCCTAATCACTTTGGTTTTCATAGTTTCATAGTTTCTAGGGTTGGAAGGGACCTGAGCAGATCATCTAGTCCGACCCCCTGCCATGGCAGGAAAGGGTACTGGGGTCAAACGACCCCAGTAAGGTGGTCATCCAACCTCCTCTTAAAAAC